GTTTGACAATGCAATTCCCTACCTACTAGGCTACTAGAACTCCCCTCATGTAGATTATATAACATTTAAACTGTGAAAATAATAAGTATTGTTGTTATTGCTGTTAGATGCTCTTGAGTTGAATGCAACTCATAGAAACCCTCTGAATAGACCTAAATCCTATCCTATCCTGTGCCCTCCTCGTCAGCTCTGACACACTTGAGCCGATTGCTACATCACAATATCAATCTATCTGATTAGGGATCTTCCTCTCTTTTGCTGACGCTCCACCTTTTCTAAGCACGATATCACTTTCCAAGGAATAACCTCTCCTAGAACCATGTCCAAAATAAAAGACATGAAGTTTCAACGTCCTTACTGTAAGGTCACCAAGGAAGGACAGAACCCAGTTCAGGCCAAGAAAGACAGTTTATTGAGGAGAAATTGCCAGATTGGCTCTCAAGTAAAAGACCAGCACCATCTAAGAGTTAGAGGGGGCTTTCATATTTTCTTACAAGGAACTTGGGGAAGGGGATGCTTGCAGATGCTCCCTTCAAGTTAGAGAAGTGGGCTAGGGTCTCAGATAACTAATCCTGGGCATAGATGGGTAGGGTAGTTTCACAGAGAGAAAAGCACAGCTCCCATTTCCTGTGACTGGATTCTCTCGGTAGCCATTCTGGGAGAGGAAGGAAAGGGCGCTGCAGTCCTAATACCTCTGACTGCACTTTTTTCCAAGACATAACTGTTTGTCTTTTTGGCCATCCATGGGATATTTAGTACCCTTCTCCAACACTGTATCTCAAAGGCATTTCTCCTTCTGCCCAGTTTTCAGATACACACCAAGTGACTGAAAATGCCATGGCCTGAATCAGGTGAACATTAGTCTTCAAACAAACGTTATTACTCTTCAGTATTTTGGAGAGGTCCCTGACAGGAGACTTACCCAAAGCATTACATCTCCTGGTCCCCTAAAATACCAAGGGGATTGATTATAGATCCAAGTAAGATGAAATCACTGACAGTTTCAACCCTTTCTCCATCTATCATGCTGTTGTCTATAGGCCCTTGGTTTTCTTGACGTTGAGTTTTAATCCATACTGAATGCTGCAGTCCTTGATTTTTTGCAGCAAGCATTTCAAGCACTCCTCACTTTCAGAAAGCAAGTTTCCATCTGCATAATGCATGCTGTTGAAGCGTTTTCCTTCAATCCTGATGCCACATTCCTCTTCCTAGATTCCAGCTTTCCAAATTATTTGCTCAGCATACAGATTGAATAACTATGGAGACAGGATGTAACCCTGACCCACACCCTTACTGAAATTAAACCATGCAGTATTCCCTTGTTCCATTCAGACAATAGCTTCTTGGTCTAGACATAGATTTCACAAGAGCACTATTAAGTGATTGTTGTTATTAGGTGATGTCATGTCAGTTCTGACACAAAAAAACATTTTGTACAGCAGAATGACATCCCACCTGGCCCTGCACCATCTGCATGCATCTGTTATATTTGAGTCCATCGTCAGTCAATCTTACTAAGAATCTTCCTCCTTTTAACTGACTCTCTACATAACCAAGCACTATGTTCTTCTCCTGGGACTCATCCCTCCTGATAACTTGTCCAAAATATGAGTAAAGTCTCGCCATTCTCACTGATAAGGTGTATTCTGACTCACCTTTTCTAAGACAGATTTGTTTTTATTGTGGACAATGGTATATTCAATATTCTTCACCAATCCATCAAATTCAAAGGCATCGAATCTTCCACTGTCTCTCTTATTCATTGTTCAACTTTTAAGTGCATATAAGGCAATTGAAAAATCCATGCCTTTGTGACTTGAATTAGGCACACTTTCATTCTCAGTGTGGTAGCTTTGATTATGGATGGCTGCCTTAAGGAAACCTAAGATTTCAAACAAAATTAAATAGTCTTATTTTAAAATAACAATAACTTTTCATATTCTATGTTGAAAGTACTGTATAGAGAGTATATAGAGGCTATAGAGAGAGCTCTGGTGGCCTAGTGGCAAGGAGTTGCACTGTCAAAAGCACTTGGTTCGAATCCACCAGCTTATCCTCAGGAGAAAGATGGGCATTCTCATCCCATATAATTTTCAGCCTCTCAAAACCCACTGGTGGGTCAATTATGAGTCAGTTCTGACTGGATAGTACATAACAATAAGACAGGTGTGTATACTAAGTGTGTTATCATGTAGATTCTATTCCATTCAAAAAAATTTAACATATATCTGGTTCTGAAGCATTGGCTTTGATTGCACAAGATGAAAAAGAATTTAATGAAGAACATCAGTTTATGCAGGTTTGTAATTATTTGCTTTAAGCAATTTTTCAAAGGTTTTTAAAAAAAATACTTAGCTTAAAAGTAGGCAAAATAGTATTTTTTTCTTAACTACCATGTAATTAATATAGAATTATTTCTTAGATTTCTCATATTTAAGCAATTTCTCTTTTTTATATCACAACATCTAAATTTTCATTGGGGACTATTGTGATACCAGAACCAGATGGTGTCTTGTTGCCACAGCTGACCACTCTAGAAGGAACTATGAAGGTCTTCTATAGAGTGAGAGAGAATTTGGAAATCATAGAGACTTTTTGGACTGATAGAGAGGGGTGGAACTCCTGGGCATGAGTCACTCTTTAGATCTGAGATTGAACCACGTGGATGAAATTTCATCCAGACAACTGATGGGCCTCTAGGATGAATAATAACAACACCTGGAAAGTATACTTAGAGCAATAGTTTAAGATCAGAAGAACACCATTTAGGGATAAAGCTTAGAAGGTGGGGAGAAAAGACAAAAGTAAAGTAGGAAAAGGTATAGATTCTTGGGGCATAATCTATAGTGTGTTTTGCTGCTAGCAAAAGACTCTGTTTCTCTATTGTACTTTCCCAGTGGCTCCACAGGGGAAAGATGGAAAATCTCCTCCTTTTAAGCTTTACCGCTTGAAATCCAAGTGGAGGATTGCTGTAGCTGGAGCCGACTTGACTGCACTGAGTAAACACACGAAGGGTTGGGCACAGTCTGTTAAATATGTGGGGTTATAACTAAGGCTTCCACTCAATATATGTATTTATCGTTGAATGAAAAACCAGTTTGCTGGGGACTTCCAAGAAGAATGGCATACAAGACCTAAAAATAGGAAAACGGGTCTCCAAGTGATGATAGCTGCAAAACAAAAAGAGAGAATAAGAAGTGTAGTTACAGAATTTTTAATAGCGAGAAAGTCCAGGTGATTTCATTATAAAGTGAACTGTTCCTTAATAAACTAGATAATCCTAAAATAAGTTAGTAAACCACTTTTATTAAAATGACAAAAAGGAAAACCATGACTCAGTAAACATTACAACAGCAGCAACAAAGAAAATAAGAAAAATCTTAAAATGAATTTAGGACGTAAAAGCAGACTGAGCAAAGAAATCAGCAACACCGCCAAAAAGAACATAGCAATATGACAAACTCATCAGTCAATG